TTTGTGGTTATTAAAAAGGGATCCATTCTTACAAAACAGTGATACAGTTCCTCAAATACATTCATCTTTCTAAAAAATAATCATTCTAATCTGAAACTAGTTAATGAATTTATTTTGATTTTAAACATAATACCTTAATTCAAATTTTAATAATTTTATCTTGTTCTCAACAGCTGGCCATATTCACTTTCTGTTCCATCCATCCAATTTCATATATTAAAAGTCATGTCACAAGTGATGTTCATTTGGGTCTGAAGAATTAAAGGTGTGTCAAGTCTTTCGCTACCATGCCCCATCATCTCATCACTTCTTCCCAAGAATGTGCGTAAACAGTTCTTTCTGCATTTTGAAACAAACTGCAATGGCTTCTGCTTCCCCAAGCTCTGGTTCTAGGCCGAATGCTCCAAAAAAATATGATGTGTTCGTAAGTTTTAGAGCCGAAACCCGCAGCAACTTCACCAGCAATCTTCATGCTGCAACTCTCAATAGTACATGACTGGTCATTTATTCTTCCGTCCATTCACAGCCTTTCCAATAAGGATATGCACCGCTTTGATGTGGAAGCCAACCATGCAATTCTTCCAGAGGCTTGAGTTCTAAACAACAGATACTGTTTTGGTCCAAAAAGTAACACATATTAATCAGAATTTTAACACGCTTTCAAACACAATTGACCCCACCATCTCTAATAATTAGAACTCTGACCCTACCATCACTTGGTGAAAGCTGCAGGGAAGTAACAGAGTAATTATTATTCCTCAGAGGAAGTTGCAATGAAATAGCAAAGCAATTGGCATGAGGGCATAAATGTCAACTTCTTTAGCGTAGGCCGCACATTTGTCGGACCTTAGTTACACAGATGCATTCACACGCAAATGTAATTCTCCCAAAGACTTGACTTCATAATTACTTTGCCCCAGAAAAATAACCTACACTCCCTCTAATTTTAAATATAAGAGTTACGTAAGTAATTTATAGAATTGAGTTTATTATTTAAAAAAAAATGTGTTTGATTTATCTAAATACTTGTTTAATAATTCTATTGAAAACTATCACATTAATAGTGTAACAAGAAGATTATAAATCTGATGGATAAAATACATTAACTTTTTATATTTAGAATTAAAATATTCCTTCAATTCAAATTAGATCTAGACTTATCTAGTGACTCATGACTGTTGCGTCCGAATCTTGATCATCTCATAAAAAGGGGGGAAAAAAAAGAGAAGCCGCTACTAAAATTTTAGAAGGTTAATTTTGAAAATAAAAAAATAATTTAGGAAAACCGAATAGGGTTCAAGAGTCAATTGTGTGTGAAAAAAGTGTTAGGCATACCACAACACTCATTTAAGAGAATGGTTACCCTAAGTCAGCTACTCAAAATTATTATGACCTTTTTTTATGTTTTAATTACCCTAAAAAACATAGAGATAGAAACCAAAAAAAAACTTTTTATTTACAAAAAGAAAAAAATAAATTTTTTATAAAATTAGACTAGACTTAGGAGAAAAACTTAGTACCTATATGTCTTTTAGAGAAATCAAGACTCATGTAGTTCGTGGCTAAAAAAGCTTACCGCTTGGTTACATATCTTGTTTCTGATGCCAACCCCATATACCCAATCATTAATATCTATTAACTAATTTTATACCCCAAAAATCTATTGACTCATATTATTACATCCTCTCATCATTGCAGTTTGACAAAATATATGTATTTAGTCATCATTCTCGGCCAGGAAAAGCTAACAGTAAGATTCGACGGATGCTGCTGCTTAATGGTTAAGTCTGATGAGTTGGAATTTCTTCTGGTTTCTTTCAAAATAATTGCTTTCTTCACTTTTTTGTGCTTGCTTTCTTTTTCTCTCTGCATTTAGGAAGTTATGTACTGAAACCAGAATATGTGTGCGCGTGACTTTGTAATTGGAAAATGATCTTCAATTTTTTCATTAGGTTAGATTGCCGATCATGGTAAGAGACACTGATTATGAGGGTTTTTTTTTTAATAACAAAACTGTGTCTTGTTTTCAGGATTGCTAATAGTTAAAAACACATTTTAATTTTATATTTAAAGTAAATCCAAAATGATTCGAAGGAGTTTTCAACTTCCCACAGGTTTGTATATCATTGTGCAGTGTATATTATTAGCCCAAGCACTCGGTCTAATAATTCATGGCGGGTCATTTATTCTTCCCCCCATTCGCAACTTTTCCAGTGAGGATATGCACCATTTTAATATGGAAGCCAGCCATGCAATTCTGCCAAAGACTTGAGCTCTAAATAACAGAAATTGTTTTGGTCTTGAAAGCTACAGAAATTAATTACTACTTTTAATTATTAATATAAGAGCTAGTTAACTAATTTAAATAGATTAAGAAAATTTGTTAAATTAGTTGTTTATAATAAATATCTATTGTTTTTTCAGGATATCCTTACTAATTAAATGTATTAGTTAGAATTAACATTACTATAAAAACTATCTTGAAAAAAAGTAAATAAATATGAGAGATAAACTATATTAGAATCTTATATTTAAAATTAAAATAAAATTAAACAAACTTTTATATTAAAGATTAGAAATATAATATAATTTATTTTTTAACACGCTTTCAAACAAAATAGACCCTACCATCTCTAACAATTAAAACTCTGACACTACAGTCAGTTGGCGAAAGCTGCAGAGAAGTAACAGAGTAATTGTTATTCCTCCAAGCCACACCAAGGGGAAGTTGCAGTGAAATAGCAAAGCAATTGCATGAAAGCATCAACATGAACTTTTCACTTTTCAGCGTAGGCCACACATATTGTTGGACCTTAGTTACGTGGGAGCTTTCATTTTTCTTTTTTTTTTTCCTGACCTTAGTTACGTGGGAGCTTTCATGATAAATGTTATTCTCCCGAAGACTTGACTTCATAATTAATGTGCCGCAAAAAAAAAAGAAGCATATACTCGCTTCCATTTTCCATATAGGAGTTAGGTAATTTTATTAATTATTTCAAGAAAATATTTGTGGATTTACCTAAATACTCTTTTAATAATTTGTATTAAAAACCACCGCATTAATAGAAATCTCCTCCTTTAATTATAAATTTAAAAGATAAAGTAAATTAAATTTTTATATTTAAAATTAAAATATTCTTTCAATTCAAATTAGATCTAGAGGGTCTAGTGAATCATTAATTCTTGATATTTATCAATCCGTTTAACACGTAAACCCATGTCAAGTTAAATTGAACCAACAAAAAGAAACATAAGGTCAAGATATTTAATGGGCAAAAATAAACAAATAGAAATCATTCTATGTAAAATCTGAAAAAAAAAGGTTGAGAAAAGGCCAAAAATAAAAGGGTGTGTTTCAAAAATTCACAGAAGTGATAATGTTATATTGTACTTAAAATAGTGAACGTGCCAAAATACCTATAAATTTTTACCCAAAGTATACTCACCACTATAATCTTTTCGGAAGTACAAAAGCAGGGATAAATTTGCAAAACCAAAAAAAAAAAAAATTGATATCACCATTAAATTTGACTAATAACTGTTATTTTTTGCCGTGGGACCTATGCTAGTACTGTGAAAGTATCAAAATGCCCCTAATTTGAAAACAATAAAAAGTTTACATGTATTTTTACATCTTCACCACTTTTTTTTTTAAAATATATATGAGGCACAAGCCAACTTGTCATATTAATTATAGTAACTGTGATAATTATTCTCGTAGATGATCAGCCGGTGTTGATGAGGCTTTTGCATTGTTGTTGTGTATTGGTTCTCAAACCTTGTGCATTTTAATTTGGCAACAGGGTCTCTTATATGTTCCAATTTGTTTTGTTACAGTACAAGCAGCATTACAATATAATAGAACCCATCATTATAACTGACCCTATCACCACTAACAAATATTAGAACCCATCACTTAACACAATTTCAAACAGAATTGACCCTATATATCAACATTAACAATTACTCTATTCAGTTCTTGATATAATAACTAATCGGGAGTTAGATTTGATATTATAGATAAGATCTTAATATGTCTATCATATTTATTATTTTTTAAACTAATTTATTTATATTATAAATAGATGTATATAATCTAATATTCTATAAAAAAATATTTTTTAAAAAAAATGTCATGTTTACTATAATTAAATAATTTATTTATTATTTAACATATTTAAATTAGTTAAGTAACCCTGATAAAAAATAGAAGTTAGTAACAAGAATGTCCCTACCATCAATTAGTGAAAGTTGAGCATTCGAATTTTGATGGGAACGTTCCACCTAGCTACGTTAAGTAGGGGGAAGTTTGCTGGTCCCAAAAAAGTAGGGGGAAGTTGCCGAGAAGTAACAAAGCAATTGGCATGAACAATCTACATTATCTTTTACGTACAAGCCATTCACACGCAAAAGAGTAACACGACTTAATCACACACAAACCATTGAAGGTACGACCTTTCCCTGTAATTCATCGTATGAGGGAGGGACAACGTTGTCATGACGTTTTCGTCTAAATCGAAAAACCGAAAAGAATAATTATTATATCATTCTACCCCGTTTTTATCAATAAAAGTGACAGATAGTCATTATTTATGGGTCATAGATAATAATGTTTTCATTTGGGCTTCACACAAATTATCATTTATAACATATACACCTCCTTTTTTTCCCTAATATAAGATATACTGCATGCAAACTAGATCTTACGTTAATAAACGAAAGCATAAGATAGTTGATTCACAGCGATCATAGTTGATGGATGTAAAAGTTTACCAATGCGAAAGATAAAAGAAAGGTGGTGCGGTTAGGATGGGAATGAAATTTGTTAATTCAAATGTGAAAAGAGTAAAAATATCAGTTGCCGTGTCATTTTGGCTCTGAAGACTTGAAAAAGTGAGTAAAGTCTAGCCGCTGCTATATATATACTCCATCATCAGCTCACTTTTGCCATTTCTCAGCAAAGAAGATAGAGAGAGATCCGAGAGAACAATCAGAATACCATGTTTCCCATAGCTTCCCCATCATCTTCTTCTTCCAAGAAATATGATGTGTTTCTGAGTTTCAGAGGAGAGGACACTCGCAGATCCTTCACCAGCCATCTCCATAATGCCTTGTGCTGCAAAAATATTGAGACATACATTGATAATGAGCTCCCAAAAGGCGATGGCATCTCTCAATCACTCATGGAAGCAATTAAGGATTCATCCATCTCTGTGGTGGTCTTCTCTGAAAACTACGCCTCCTCCAAATGGTGTTTAGATGAGCTCCTTCAGATCCTTTGCTGCAAACAACAGCAGAGACAGACTGTTGTTCCTATCTTCTACGAAATCGACCCATCTCATGTGCGCAATCAGAAAGGAACTTATAAGAAAGCATTCACAGAGCATTTGGAGAAAAACCAAGAGAAGGTGGAGGAGTGGAGACAAGCACTTTTTGAGATTGCAAGTCTAGCAGGATGGGACTCCCGCAACTACAGGTCACTTTTCATTCTCTAATAAGTCTCAATCTTTGAATCACAGCTGCATTAGCAATTATGACTTGAGAGTTTCATGCTTTTATTATTTCCTTTGATTGATCTTCGTCATCGTAGAAATTGCTTTTTCCTGGCAAGTAATTAACAGGTCTGGCAGTGAGTATTTGATGTTTAAGGAACTTCTAGCATTCTTTGTTCAAATTAATAAAAACCTGAAATGGTAACTAACTTTTTATTAAAATACTCCTCCGGTCCTAATTATAAGACTCAATTGACTTATTTGAGGAGATTAAGGAAGTTAAGTTGGTTATTTATAATAAATAAGTGTTGTCATTCCTAAAATATCCTTGCTAATTAAGTATATTGGCTAAAACTATCATTATTAGAAGGATTATCTTGGAAAAAAATGCATAAATATAAGAGAGAAAATGGATTGGGTCTTATAATTAGGACCAAATAAAAAGTCAAATTGAGTCTTATAATAAGGACCGGAGGAGTATAATAACTTTTTAATACTATTTTTATTTAATATATATCTTTTAAAAAAATCTTTATAATAAATAAAAGATAAAATGGTATATCCATGCTAAAAATTTAATAAAGTGACTTATAAATAGGACAAAAATAATATTTTCTCTTTTATCAATAGTACCCGACGAGTATAAAATTAATTTCTTTAATTTATTGGGGTTATATGAAGAAAATGTTATTTAAACGGTGTCATCTCAAAATTGGATACTTCGCCTCTAAGGTTGCTTTTTTGGCAACTGTGAATTTTATTTTTGATTTATTTTTCAGGTATATTTAGCATTTAATCATTTTAGTAGTGTAATTTTACCAATAATTTTACCACTAAAAAAATCAAGATGCTATGTGTATTGGAAAAATAAGATCACCAGTAAAGATTTTACTTTTTTTAAAAAAATAAATGTTCTTCCCTTCTTTAATTAATTGTCATTAAGAATATACGAATAACTCATATATAGCAGAGTAAATTATGTATACATTTCTTAACAGGGGTGTTCGTTCTGTCCAGAAAAAAAATAATCCCGGTCCAGTCTGAAAGAAAAAGAAGAAACCCAAAAAAAAAAAAAAAACAGAGTACTTTCAAGCTGAGCTAATATGGGCAGGATCGAGTGTTGAATAAAGCATGTTGCTCTGCCCGTTTAACCCTGCTTGAATATATATATATATATATATGTATATAATGTAATATTAATATATTATATTATGATGTTTGGAACTGATGTGAATGTGAAATTTGGAAAGACTAAATGAAAGACAGAAGGAACGTGAAATTTCATATGTTCCGCTGGTTTGAGTTTGACAATTTTTCTGTGAAATCTTTCTGTGCTAGTATAGATTTTTTTTTCACACATAGACAAGGCATCACTATTTAGATAGGGAAGCCCACCCTGCATCTAACTCATTCTTACCCATCTCAAAATAGTTAGGGATTCTACAAGAAAGATCAGGTAAGAGGCTGCAAAATGTAGCCTGCTTATTCTTGGCTGGGGCTCTACCCTGCATGTGTGCTCCCTATTTCTTATGATCAAATGAAACTTGCACATATTTCTAAATTTCACAAAAACGATAGATTTTACGGCATCTGTTGGTAATTTTCAAAGTTATAAAAGCTTGTTCCCTGAAACAAACAGTATATAACATCTTATCTCTATAATTATTCACAAATGTCCTGTTTACCAGAGTAGGAATCGATGAAATCTTAATAGAATTCTACTTGATAATTTTGAAAACGGGGGAAATTAAAATATACACACAATTTTGATGAAACTCTATAGAAATTTGTCACTTATAAAATAATTATCTTACCATGTCACCGAAGGAAGAAACTGCGATCAATTAGTTATAACTTTATTTAAACCATTCCTTAAGTTTCATTTGATGCATTAATACTTTCTTGAGTAATTCTTTTTCTTATAATAGGGATGAAGTAGAACTCATTCAAAATATTGTCTCGGACATCAACAAAAAACTAAACCGTGGGTCCCTAACAACTGTACTAGAAGATATTATTGGAATTGATGAGAATTTGAATCATATTATGTCGTTGCTAGAAGAATCCTCAACAATTGGGATTTGGGGGATAGGCGGGATAGGCAAAACAACAATGGCTAAGGTTGTGTTTGCCAAGCTCCACTCTCAATTTGATAGTTGCTGCTTCTTGAAAAATTTTAGGGAAAAGTATGAAGAGTATAGGTTAGAGCATATCCGTGATGAACTTTGCCGAGAACTAGATACATCTCTTGGAAGGCTCAATAGTAGAAAAGTTTTGATTGTACTTGATGATGTTAGCACCACACAGCAGTTAGATGAGTTGAAAAGTGAAGTTCCTTGTTTGGGACATGGTAGTAAAGTCATCATAACAAGTAGAGATAAGCATGTGCTAAATGGAAGAGTTGAGAGAATACATGAGGCTGAGGCATTGAGCTACAACAATTCACTTGAGCTTTTCAACCTCAAAGCCTTCCACAAAGTTGGTTATGAAAGTGAATATGAAGAACTGGTTGAAAGAGCACTTGCTTATGCCAAAGGCATCCCATTGGCCTTAACTGTTTTGGGTTCGTTTCTACATTCCAGACCTATAAATCAATGGGTAAGTGCGTTGAACAAATTAGAACGGATGGCCAATAAAGATATTCAAGATGTGTTAAAATTGAGTTACGATGGACTTGATCATGAAGTGAAGGAGATATTTTTAGACATTGCTTTTTTTTTTAAAGGTGAATGGGGAGAGTATGTAGCAGCAACGCTAGAGGGCTTTGGCTTTCATGCAAGAATTGGTTTGGGAATTCTTGTGGATAAGGCGTTGATAAGTTATAGTCATGGTGCGGTATGGATGCATGATTTAATACAATGGATGGCTTTTGAAATTGTTCGCCAAGAGAATGAGAAAAATCCTGGAGGACGTAGTCGACTACGGAATCCTGATGAGATCCGTGATGTGCTAGAAAATAATCGGGTAAGAAAAATATTTACCTTTCTAATTAAACACTTGAAAATGAATGAAAAGAAATTGTTAATATAAAGCAATTTATTTATTTTCTTTTGGGCTTTTGTGTTTTTCAGGGAAGTGGTGCAATTCAAGGCATAAGTTTAGATTTGTCTCAAATTAAATATTTAAAATTGAGTGCTGATGTCTTTAGAAAGATGACAAATTTAAGGTTTCTGAATCTCTATTCACGCGTACGTGAGGATAAAAGATCGTGCATTGTGAATCTTCCTTCAGGACTTCAATCATTTCCCAGTTCGTTAATGCATCTTTGGTGGGACAATTTTCCTTTAAAGTCTTTGCCGTTGTCATTTTGTGCCGAGAAGCTAGTTGAACTTCACATGCCCTATAGCTGCCTTCGAAAACTATGGGATGGCAAGCAGGTATAACATACAAATACGAGTTTCATAATTTTTTCGTTTTTACAATTTGATTCAAATTTAACACTCTTGATTCCTACGTAATATTTCTCTTTTTAATTGTTGCAGGACTTGGTGAATTTAAGGAATATCAACCTTCGGGAATCTATAAAATTGATAGAGTTGCCAGATTTGTCAGCCGCTGAAAGACTCAAATGGGTTGATCTTTTCGCATGTGAAAGTTTATGCCATCTTCATCCATCCATTTTATCTCTTCCGAGATTAAAGTTTGTGGATCTTGGGATGTGCAAAAACCTAAAGAGTTTGGTTACAGAGAGTCAATCAAAATCGCTCTCAAAACTAAATCCATTTTCCAAGTGTCTACCATTGTCATTTTGTGCAGAGAAACTAGTCGAACTTCTCATGCAAGGTAGCAACCTTGAAAAACCATGGGATGGCATGCAGGTAAACGAACAATTAAAAGTTTTAATTTCTTTCTTTATAATTTAATTGAAATTTGAGACTCTTGCTTCTCATGTAATATTTCTCTTTTTAATTGTTGCAGAGCTTTGTGAATTTAAGGGAGATAAACCTTTATGGGTGCAACCAATTGATAGAAGTGAGAGATTTGTCAACAGCCCAAAGTCTTGAACAGGTTGATCTGACATATTGTGAAAGTTTGCGGCATCTTCATCCATCAATTTTATCTCTCCCAAGATTGAGTGATTTGAACCTTTGTGGCTGCCGAAGCCTAGAAAGTTTGAAATGTGAGAGTCAATCAAAATCTCTCTTACACCTAGATGTCTATGGTTGCTCTAGACTCAAGGAATTTTCATTCTCTTCAGACAAAATGGAGGATTTAAGCTTAGAAGGAACAGGTGTCGAGATATTGGACTTTTCAAGTGGGCGTATGGAGAAACTCAAGTGGCTCTATGTCAACGGCTCAACATTAAAGAATCTTCCGATCAATGACATCTGTTACATGAGATCTCTCCAGGTGCTTTGTCTTTATGATTGTGGAGGAGGAATAATTGATAAGTCAAAGCTCCATGTCTTATTTGATGCTTTGCTATCTCTAGAAACAATTGATTTGAGCGGGACCTGCAATTTGACTGAACTTCCAAACAATATCAAGCATCTCCCAAGGCTATACGATCTTAATGTAAGCGGTTGCAAGGACCTTCAATCTTTACCCGAGCTTCCTCCATCCATTGGAGTATTAGATGCCGGCAAATGCACATCATTGACGACACTACAATTCATTTCTCATACTGAAGCTTCATTGTCGACGGATGAAATAACGCCGGGTTCAACATTCTGTTCCTCGGTTAGCTGTCCCAAAAATCTTAGAATTCTTATTCTTAATGATTGTGAACAATTGCATGAACTCCCGGCTGGCATCAAGCATCTTTCAAATCTAGAAGAAATTAACTTGAGCAATTGTAGAAGACTTCGTTCTCTGCCAGGTGAAATAACGCCGGGTTCAACATTCTGTTCCTCGGTTAGCTATCTCAAAAATCTTGAACGACTTATTCTTAATGGTTGTGAACAATTGTATGAACTCCCTGCTGGCATCAAGCATCTTTCAAATCTACAAGAAATTGACTTGAGCAATTGTAGAAGACTTCGTTCTCTGCCAGAGCTACCACCGTTCCTTGAAAAAATTTATGGCAAAGGTTGCATAGCAGTGGAAACGTATGCTATGGAAAGTGCTTATTCCTCATTGAGCCGACTAGTATACGCACAAAAAGAAGATTACATTCGCTACTCCGGAAGAAAAGCTCCAGAGCCGTTTACATTGAATCGGGTAGCAGAGGCCTCCAAAAATATAACTATTGAGCTTCCTTTCCCCACTAGCGACCTAATTGGCTTCATTTGGTGGTCTGTTCTTCAACGCACTTCCACTAACTTTTTATGCGAACTGTATGTTGGTGATGATTTGCGGCCATGGATTTCAAGTAGCTTTAGCCTAAACATGACAAATTTAGATTCACATCAAGTTCTTCTGCGGAGTCTACCTTGCACATTCACCGGCTTCCATAACAAGAAGGACGATAAAAACACCAATTATCGATCAAAGGTGCTATTTAAATTCTGTCTTGATGCAGATAGTGGGGATGCTGATGATGTGATTGAAGAATGTGGAGTCTTGCCAATATATGCCTCGAAATATCGCAACTTCATTCAAGAAATGGAATTGTTGCAATCAAACTTGGGTACCCAAAAAGAGACTTGTCATGATGCTGATGAGAATTCATTTCATGGAATCCTAAAATATGCTACTTTCTCCTTGAATCAAGGAGAAGGTGGCAATTTTGAAGGAAGTATTATTCCAGAATGGTTTACTTATAAAAGTTCAATGATAAAGTATGAATTTTCAAAAGTCTCGATCAGTGTTCGGTTTGCTCTGGATTTTGACAACTTAAAGGGTTTCATTTTCTGCTTTGTTATACCCCAGTTCTCCTCAAAAGAAAGGCATGAATGTCACTCGTCATGTTCTTTCTCTTTACATGACCTGAGTTTATCGTCTGATGAGAGTTGGAAATATGGTAACTATTTGAACGGTCCATTTGGATGGCACTATTCAATGGTAAAATTGAATTCAGATAATGTTTTTCTATGGTACGATCCCCTCTACAGTGAAGTCATACTACAGAAACTCCGAAGAAAGGGGAAAGGTCATGATGAGGAGCTTGAATTTGCATTTCGGTTGGGCAATTATTATACCAATGATTGCAATTCTAAAGAGCGCAACTGCTGGATCAAAGAATGTGGAGTTCGCCCAATATATGCCTCAGAGTACACGAACTGCTTTCTTCAACAACAAAATCGAAAGGAGGTATGAAAAAAAAGAGGTCACGAAATATTGATGATGACCAGTACCAACTCCCTTCAACAAAGAAATTGAAGGAGTCTTCAATCATTCAATCTATTCCCCAGAATCCTGAGTCCAAGACTTCTCATGATGTCGACAAAGTGCTCCTCCTGCTGTCCCAATTGAATTTGGAATCTACAAAGGATCCCAGTCATGAGAAATAGATTACCTGGCTATAATCTATTACTTGATCGGTATGTATCTCTCTTTTACATTTCATCTATTAAATTTGACTTTGATGCTTTTAAAAAAAATATGCTGCCCTGTAATATATTTAATTCTATTGATAAGTTTGAATCCAATTATTTCCACTACTAGGATTTCAAATCGGCTTCTTACAGTGGATATATATCTAATTCAGACAACTTCACTAATATGTTCACTGAAGCGGAAGTCTGTTAAGGCATAACATAATAGGAAACTTGATATGCATAGACTAGCTTCATTACATACCATAATAAAAAAAGCATGAGTGAAGTGAAATCATCAACCAAAACTCGAGATGATTTAGATATAGGATATCTTCTTGTAATTCTGTCTGTTTAAAAAGTTGGCTTCCGTAAGTCGGATATATAATTTGTTGGATTTCAGTTTGTTTACAAGGGAGTTCGACTTCTGCAGTGAAGCTTTTATCTCCTCTGGATTTCATAACTACGCTACTGATATATGCACACATAGATATTTATATATCTACATTTAGGTGAGATGGTTATTCCTCTGGAAGAGGATATATGTATGTGTGTTGGATGGTTATTCCCCGTGCTTATACATGTAAGAGGTATACTTGATGTACTATAAATTAAGGTGGTCAGCTGTTCCCCACACTTTTATATATAGATATATAGACAAACACAATATGCTGTAACGTAGGTGGAACGCTATTCACTAGTAAAGATTGTGATGTGAGGTGTATAAGTGAAAAGATAGTTGTAGTTGAATGCCTTGTGATTATTGGCTAATGTTAGAACTTGGTTTTGATCATATTTGTTTTAACTTCTCTTCTTGAAAATATGTCATTGCTTGACTTCCTTACACTTTGTTATTTGTGATTCAATGAGTCAATAATAAACTCACCCCTTTTTCATTACTTTGCAGATCGGCATGCAATTGAATAGAGAGCTCTGTTTTTGCACTTTGTGGACAGAGGTTAAGTGGGACAAGCTAGAATAATGACGATGTAGTATCCCATGGTGTCATGGCTACTATGGAGGGGTTAGTGTTCTTGTGTCATGTCAGCTTCAAATTTATGTTGAACGTTTGTTTAAATAATGCTTGACTAATGTTGGCTAATTTGTTTTGAAATTGGTACCTTGCAGTATGCAAACTGTGATTTGTTTTAATTAATACAAATGAAGGCTAATTTTCTTTAAACTCTGAGGTTGTATGGTGTGAATGTGGTCTTAATCCAAGCGAGTTAAACTAAGTGTACTTGTATTGGCTTGGTCAATACGCCGATCCCGGCTCAAATTGAGTCATGACAATTTACTGCACTGTTCACACAAAATACAAAATGATTTATAGAAAATATGCAACAACAAAAAATTCTTTGGTCATACTCTTTTAGGCTCAGGACGGCTCTTACGATCCTGATTTACTAAACACAAGACAAGATGCAGTTCTTGAACTGGCTACAAAACACTGTTTTGAGTTGAATGCCTCTTGATAGCTTAAATAGAATAATCATATCTATTTTTTTAAACTAAGAATAATCATATCTAATAATTTTATAAAACTACTAACGAAGATAATAGTGGTAAGTACGTGTAACACATACTCCGCCCGTTTCATCAGAGTGAGAGTCCATTAAGTTTACATTTTTGTATTTGGGATGCGTCAGCTAAAATGAATGAATAAGTATTGTTATTTCTGTTCAAGGCAAATCTTTTTTCGTTTATAGGAAAGAAATGAACCTCTATTTGACAAACTTTGCACTCCATGTCTTCACTTTCTCAAAGTGGAAGAAACTAAAAAAAATAAAAAAACAAAAGCAGTTTCTTAAAAAGAAAGAACCTAAAAAAACGAAAATTAAAAGCTGTATTCCTCTATTTCGTGACCATTAATGGAGCAACGTAATATCTCTTTTCCGTTAATCCTTCACAAAATCACATTAGGCCACAATAAAGTGTCACAAATTTTATTCTCGTCCAGACAATAACCATGTAAGGTGCATATCTTTTATATATTATTTGGAAGAAATTAAGCTTTTAGTCTTTCAACTTTTAACTCTCTTATAACATATTTTTTTAACTATGACTTGGTACAATTCAGTTTCTAAATTTTTGACTCGTCTAGGACTCAATCTTTTATGTTTTCATTTTTTCTATTATAATCCTTGTCTTATTCTATGCGGCAGTGACACCCATAAAATTACTTACAACTCAGCTGCACCTAGATTTTTTATTTTTATTTTTTTGTTTTTAAAAAAGAAGCCACACGAGACAGAAGCCATGGTCGCATCCTACTCACCAAAACTTCCACTGCACTTTGAAATCCCATTGCCGACCACGGCTTCCGTCTTGCGTGGCTTCTTTTTTTAAATATATATATATATATATATATCTCTCTCTCTCTCTCTCTCTCTCGGTGGAGCTGAGTACTTGTAAGTAATTTTACAGGTGTTGCTGTCACATAGGATAAAATTTTTCCTTGAGCTTCTCAAGTACCTTCTAATCACAAATTTCTCTACTTTAGCCAACCAAATTGTATTCCCACGTCTCTATCAATTTCACCATCCTCATGCATAATAGATTTTAGATATTTGAACTTTAACACCTGAGAAATGATTTGATCTTCCATCTTCATCTCCAAGTCATCATTACCTTGCTCTCCCAAAATTGTAATGTATATATTCTATTTGCTCCTGCTCAATCGAAAACCTTTCAACTCCAAGTTCCTTCTCCATAACTCAAATGTAAAGTTAATCTGTTTTCTTGATTCAGCCATGACGGCTACGTTTTTTGCGCTGTCATTCCTGACTTCTTTCAGATGAACATTGTATGGACCCTGAAATTTCCTTGTGTGTTAAATTGGATGAAATGACTCCCAAAAATGGTTTTCCACTATTAGTAGAGCTCAGTCCTGGAAACGTTCTCCTAGGTTACAATCCAAAACTAGCTGAATTGATATTGGAGAAAATTGAAGGGAATAAAAGAAATCTTGAAGCCACCGCTTATAACCGAAATCTTTTTTTCACATTCGGTTTGGTTAGTCATCCTTATCTCACCAAAGAGTGTGGAGTCTATCCCATATGTGCCTCAGAATATTACAATGTTAATAAGTGAAGCCAGCGGAGGTCAACTTGTATTCCCGAAAAGGCAAGGGCCTTTTGATTTAATAGGGGTGTTATCTACTTAAATTAGCAAATTAAGAGCATGTATTCATACTTGACCATGATACTCTCCTAGCTGCATTGACGATGATTACATGCTAACTATTGTCGACTATATGGGTTCCAGAAAAATTTGACTATTCGATGTCCTCTTTTCTGTAATGATTATTGCACTTCTGGTTTAAATTTTGAGTTTTTTTTTTAATCAGTTCAGTAATTCCATTCCAGGGAAATGATAATCTTATAAACAACATATCAGCAAGATTTTTTGCAGAGGAATAAAATGACTTGATTCTAACGAATGAGCATGTTTATGTTTGTAGATAAAAATATAAAGAAAAACAGAGCAAGAGCTATCGCTCCTTCAAATTGAGCTTTAGATAAAGTTGTTGAATATCATTGAACTGATTCTGATTTGCATATTGATGCTTGAACTGATTCTGATTTGAATATCATTGAACTGATTCTGATTTGCATATTGTGCCATGACTTGCACAGGCCAATTTGCCATATTATGGTAATTGTGGTAATTATATTCTTGTAGATGATTAGTTAATGTTGGCGGGGCTATTGCATTACTAATCTGTGTATCGGTTCTCAAACTTTATGCATTTTAGTTTGCTAAAAAAGTTTCTTATATGTTCCGATTTGTAACACTACATGCACCATCGAAATATATTTCAAGAGAAAAACGGAGTTTGCGGATATGCAATACCAAGCATTCATGTGAATTAAGAGTTACCTGTTTAAACTCTGTCTTTAGCTTGAATTATCTGTTGTTATCGTTTATTTTTTTTCCCATACACTCTCTTTTATTTTTTTCCTTCACTATTTTTCTCTCTAACTTACCCCTTTTATAAGTAAGGACATATCCCATAACGTGGGAAACGCAAGTCAAATGACTAATTATATCGCATAATATTGTGAATCAGTCAAACCAACGATGGCTGCGTCTGCTTCATTATCATACTCGTCTTCTTCACTTCCATTCTGTTTTGTTTGCAGGGCTTTACATCTTCTACTCTGTTCTTTCACAATTCAAGCTAAAGAAAAGCCTTTCCAGTTGCTCGAATTGCCGAATTTGTTGGGAAGAAGATGATAAACAGGTCCAAATTAAAGCCCGAATTTTGATATGAGCGGAATTGAACTTACTTCGCATCATGTTTTTCTATGGTGTAGTCCATGCAGATTTATAAAAACATCCAGAAATCATTATAACTCAAAGCTTCCATTCAAATTCTCTGTTTTTACATATGATGAGGATGATAAACTTGAAATATGAAAGCATGATGGCTTGATCGTATCATGTGGGGTCTCACCAATATATGCTTCAGAACGTTAATAAATTCTTCAACAGATGGAGATGGAGTCAGAATACAGGAAGTTACTTCAGAAGAGGGAATTGAAATCAGAGTTGGGTACAAGGAAAAAGAGGCGCAGAAAAATACTGATGTCGAGCAAGAACAACTCATGGATAAGGATAATCTCGTTAAATTAGACATATTCTGAACAAGATATCTATTCTCTTCTTGGGTCAAAAGTTCACACTTTCTGGTATATTTAATTCTATTCGATGAGTTAAAATCCCGTTATTTTAAAAATTAGGCTTTAATTTCTGCTTGGCTTGTTACAATGTAGACATTTCTTGTCGAACAACTTCGTTGGCATTTTCTGACCAAAAAACTTCGTTGGCATTTTTGTCGAAACAGAAGTCCAGTCATGCAGGCAATTGGATTGAAGCATATGACATATCATGAAATTTGGTATGTGGCCTGATGTCAACATATAATTGGAATTGATGAAATGATTAAACCCATTGAAGTAGTGTTAACTGGA